CGTATAGCTTGGGGAGAGGGAGGGGGAAGAGGTGAGGTTGTGGTGGGAAGGGGGAAGGGAGGAGGGGGTGGTAGGCGGCGATGGTGGTGGTAGGTGAAGGTGATAGATGGAGAAAAAAAAATGGTATACATTTTATTTTATTTTATTTTTGTATAGTTGGAGTTATTTTTTATATACTTTATGGATGTGATGATTTTTGAATTATTTTTTATTGTGTATTATTGTAATATTATATATGAAAAATTTATTGTTCAAAAAATGAAGAATCCCCAAATAGAGCCTAAGATATGACTTACATACCTTAACTTGGGTCGAGAAAATTTTCTTTTTCAAATTCACATGGGTAGGCTAAATTCATAGCGATAAAAAAAGAGGGTTGAGAGTTTTGAAGATTAAAGTTAAGAATAGAGGATGAGAGATTGAGTGGTAAAGAAACATCTCTCTGATTTTCCTTTAAGGCTGTGTGCGTGATTGGGCATAATATCAAGGCGGCTTTTCGTTTAGATCTGATCAGAGATGCAGCCAAGATGAAAACATAAAGAAAGTCATCCAGTAATTAAGTCTATTCCCCGGAACAAGCAAAACCAACGAGTCCATGATCCCATCAATTAAGCAATCTTGCTCTCTCACGGCTCAAAGGATGAAGTGTTCCCAAAAAAAAAAAAAAAATCTATGAAGACTAGAAGTTTTTGAGTATAGGAATTTGTGGATGGAGCAAATCTAATCTGACTTTTGTGTTTTTTTTTTTGGTTTTTTTTAAATTTCTGGCTGAGGAACTTCTGCTCATTTTGTTTGTTTTCTATTTTTTGGGTCTTGGATGAGCAACTTTTTATTTCTCAAGTTGCAACTTGTACGATGTCTGGATTTTTTTCTTTGATTCTTAACATTTGATTTTCAAAGTTTCAACTTGGTGCTTCTATGATGCAAAGGGAGAAGCTTCCCAAAATGCTTGGTGCTTTCAAAGTTTTAACTTTGAGATCCGTTGTCGGAATTTCAATTTTAAGGACCAAAACAAAGAGCAGACGGTCTCATAGTAGCATGGTTAAAAGGTTTGTTGGAAGAGAAAGAATTTTGGTTTAAAAAATTCGCTAAAATATGTGGTCCAATGGTCTACTAGTGGGGACCTAGACCTGGTTCACATGGAATGTTTGCTTTCTTAAATTAACGAATCATGGTTATGCGCAGCAGGAATTATGTACGTGTTAAGGAAGATGACTTTTCCGTGACGGAAGAGAATATTTTAGAATAGGAAAATATTTTAGAAATCTCAACCAAGCACCAGAAAATAACGACAAAAAAAGTAATTATTTTCCTGGTAAAAAAATTTTGCACTGAAAATTTTCTTCTCATTTGAACCAACAAAATGAAAAACGCCAAAACTTTAGTAACCACTTTATTTGTTGTGCTTAACTTTTTATTTGATAATCTAGGTTTTTACTTGACATTGGGTAATTCTATAGTTTGGATTCCAAGAAGGATTACATAGGCATTGTTTGGTACTGAGTAATTAATGTGACTAAGGTTCCGTTTGATAAAACTGAATCTGAATTCTGAAATCTGAATACTGAAACAATTAATTTGCTGAATTTTAAGTACTTAAAAAAATATATGAATGTCTGAATTTTAATGCTAAACCTATTTATACTGTTTGATAAATATTTATAGCTGAATGCTTAATAAGTTTAATTTGACAATTTTGCCCTTATATCCTTTCATTCAAAAAAGAAATAGAATCTATGATTTAATTAGTTTAAAATTGTTAGGTATGAAAATGACAATATTTATTTTTAAATCAAATTAATATAAAATATGAAATATATTATATGAGAAGTATGAAGAAGATGTGAAAGTCATTAAAAATGGAGAAAATGGAAACTAAAAATCGTTAGATAGAGAATATTATATTGTTTAATTAGATAAGAATTTTGAACATAATTAACAAACAATGGTAGATTTGGTAGATAAGATAAGGTAGCTGGAATAATTCTATTGATTCTTATCAGAATTAAGTATTCAGTTAGGATTCGTGTGCTGAAAAAAATACATACAGGTTCAGCACTGCTTAACAAATTCAGCAAATAGATTTTCATTTATCAAACACTCGAAATATTTGAATGTCTGAAAAAATTCAAATTCAGCACTTTTTTATGTTATCAAACAAACCCTAATACCAGAGTCTGACTCAGTCTAGTGTCAACCTGAAAGGAGCCGAATTTGAGTTAGTTGTCGGTACCTGCAATCATACCTGGCCCGAGAGGATTATCACTCAATGATCGAACTAATTGTTTGGTTTTAGGTTTTAACAACACGATTAGAAGATACCTGTCCAGGTTCATGATTGCCAAGTTCGTTTTTTCAATGCATCACTTCCCTAGTACATTTAATGACCCCCCAAACTCTGACTTTTTTGGCATTCTAATTACTCTCAAGATGTATTTTAGCATGGCAAACACAGTCCCGTGAATATCAATAATGATGCAAATCTCCCCGCTAAGCTGCAAGAGATTGAGACCGGGCATGTTTATCCTATTAGATTGTATAATGGATTACAGAGAAAACAACAGACCCATCTAGAGTAACATTCATAGCTTTTTGAATTTTTTTAATTGTAGAGTGTGAGATTTGAATTTTTTTAATTGTAGAGTGTGAGATTTGAATTCCTGACTTATTGTTTGAAGAGAATTTTAAATATCTTTTAATAGTCAATTTACTTAAGACGAGTCGATTATGTTGGTTTTGTTGAGAAGAAATTATTCGCAATGTACTTCAAAAAAAAATATATATGCTACATCACAGATGTCAACTAATAAACTGTCTTTAACACTTGGTGGTTCATTAAAATAGTATCATAAAACAGGATTGGCAGTTATAACTGATTCAAAATACACATATAGGCCGGGCTAGTTGCGACAAGCCCAGGTAGTAGTGTGTATCTTTCGTGATAAGCAATGCATGGACTGGGGCGGGGTGATTGAAGATCGCACCTGGACATAACCCCCCCCCCCCCCTTTTCTTTTTCCCTTTTTTTTTCTGCAATGGTAAAATTTATCCTATTCTATAGAGAGGAAGAGTTTAAAGAGACTGTGTAAAGGATTAGTAAGTATATAAACTCGATTACATTAGATCAAGTGGATGTTCTAATACCTTATTTAATTTTTTGATTTTATTGTGGTAAAGTTCGGACTTTCGACCTATAGTTCAAAGAGGACGTAATTTTGGTGATTTGGCGAGGTCATTTCATGAAAATGCTCTCTGAAAGGTGTATAAATTAATAGTACACGTTAAGTGAAATTTCTATGTTTTTTTTTTGGAAAAATGTAATTAATTTGGGAAAGAGTCTGATCACTTGGAAGAAAATGATAATGATTCTAATTGTATTTATTTGCATGGTAAGTCTAAGAGCAATCTAAATATATGACGAGACTCACTAGACAATCATTAGAAAAAAATCATAAATTATTTCAAATATTCTTTTTAATTCAAATATATTATTTTCTCGGAATTAAATCCAATCCGAGGTACGATACGCGTAATTAATTAGCACTACTAGTACTGGTAGGACTTTCCTGTTTGAAACCGTGGTCATGACCACTTTTCCAATTTAATAAGGATTAAGAGTATCCTCTTTTGGAGTATTAATCCTAATCTAGTTGTTTTCATACAAGGCATGAAAGGCACCCTCATAGGTCAGAACCTTTTCAATATTTACCTCATGCAATTGGTCCCAAATCCAATTAATTTTAGTGATCATATTTTCAGATTGCTAATCAAAGTTCCAAGATAAGGATAATATTTATTTAAAATTGATTTTCCAACTAAACCGTCTAGTTCGTTTGAACTCCGCAGCGGAGCTCTTCTCTTGGTTTTTACCATTGTTTGAAATTTTACAAGAGGTTTATAAATCTGGCTTTTTGCTGCAGAGTTATAAAAACAAAAATATTTACTAACATTTCCGATGAGCGTTTATTAATTTTCTAAAATTGGTCCTTCTGTAAAGTCATCACAATGTAAATTATTCGTCTAATTTTGTGTGCAATAAGGTTTCAAATTAAGGTCGCTACGAGTCGAGCATGAGGTCGCACAATGTAAATTACAACATGGCAACTAACCAGTTAATTTGGATAGTTTTAGTCATATTTTTGCAATGACTTGTTTTTGTTTTGACAATCAACTTTGTTTGAACGACCCTCAGCTTAAGTAGGCCATAAAAAAAAGTAAAGAAAAATAGAAAAAGTGTATGAAAGCTGGGTTTTTCTTTTGCATGGAATCACTAGATACATAAAAGATTAAATTAATTTTTATGGAATCACTAGAATCGACTTCAGGGAAGACTCTTAAGATTTTTCCCCTTATCAAATTTTAAATTTAAATTTAAATAAATTGTCATGCACAAAATGGTAAGGGCGTATACTAGAACTGCAAACGAGCCGAGTCGATTCGAATTTTGGACTAATCGAATCGAATCTTCATTTAGTTTTATCAAACTCGAGCTCGACGAGCTACCAATTTAATGCTCTAGCTCGAGGTCGACTCGAGTTTGACAAGCTGTTAATTTAATGCTCGAGCTCGGACTCGACTCAAATTCGAGTCGAGTCGAGCTCGAAAAAATAAAAAATAAATAAAATAATATTTTTTAATAAATAATAAAATATTAGATATATATATAATTTTACTATTATAATAAAAAATAAAAAATATATTTATATACACACTCGAGTTCGCGAGAATTTTTTGAATACGAATTCGAGTTAAACTTTGACTCAACCCGCTCGTGAGTGGTTCGATTCGTTTACAGTCTCAATGTATACACTGTTAGTGTATAAATGATTAATCTTGAATCTATGTATGTCAGTTTTGAAAACGTAAAGAAAGTAAACCACGTTGTAGTATCTAGCTAAAGGAGCACCAACTTTGGGCTACAATCAGCCCGACTTTTTGTCCCTTCGAAGCCCAGTCATAGGAATATAGGCTTCAGTGACTTGACGGCGTCGTCCAGTCCACAAGTTCTGTAGCCACTCACACAGTTACAGGCTGCTCACTCGCTTTCACTGTCTTTCAAATTCCAGACCTTCGATTTTGAGCATCTCATTTGGCTTTTATTCTCCGGCGATGAGTTTATTCAGAACCGCGACGAAATTGAGCCGTCTGATTAGACCGGTTCATCAACATCAAGGACTTACGTCGCTACTCTCGCCCAGACGTTTCGCCACTGAAACCCAGCAGCCCAGTCAGGACACAACTTCCGATTCATTTCTTCGAACTCCAGCCACTGGTTTTCACGACTCTTCTGTTTCCATTTTTTTTAATATCATTCATCTTCTTCGGTTGCAATATCACGAATCACATTTAAAATTGAGCTAGGACTTAGGGTTCAGAGTTTAGGGCTTCTCTTGTATTTTTGTTTGGATTGCCCGTTTCCGTCGAAAAATTACGTCGTTTTCCGTGATCACATTTCCCTATTACCTTTTTTCCTCACATATATCAAATCGCTACAGTAATTTTTCCATGAAAAATCACGAAAAATGCAATCCAAACACAACCTTATAGACTTGTTCCAACCATTGAATATTAATGTCTACTTATGTGCATCGTATATCAAATCAAATAACTTCGCTTTTTTAGTGGCACGTAATATTTTATCAAAAGTGTGGTTCGCCTTTTTATTGGCTTCCCTCCAATCCCTCTCTCTTTGATGGTTACTGTCTTTTCGGAGGAAGAAAAAAGATTCAGTTACTTATTATATTTTTTTTGGTGGATTTTGAGGTATCTCAATTAAATGATGCCCTTGTGACGAAGCAACTGTCGAAGCTAGTGTAGTTTGCTTTTGCTTTTTTTTTTTTTTTGTTGTTGACATTCTGATACATACATGAGCATAATCTAGGTAGTCTGTGTTACTTTAAGGGTGTCTTTGGTCTTTATGAGAATTGAAACTTGTATTTGTATAGAAACGCCAATTTTAATTTTGCTGCAGAAATTTGGAATTCCATTTTCCACAAAAACCCAAAAAACACACCCTAAAGTTAGCTTCTCATTTTTTGGGAGTTAATGCAACTGATAATTCAAGTTTGATTGATACTGGAAAAAGTCTGATTTAGTGACTGCGATGTATGACTTGATATCGTCTTGTTTATGCATAGTTTACAGTAACCTGCCCTGCAAGCTGCAAATGAATGATGCCTAAGAATTAATATGATTTTTTTCTATTTTGGCTGTTAGTTTACATGGGATATCCATTATACTGTTGTTTTTATTGGAAGTGCATTTTACTTACGTATATATATCTCTTGTATAAACATCAGGACTAGTTTATGGGAAATTATTTGGCACGACAAAGCATACAATGAAGACCGATGTTCTCAATTTGTTGCAAGGGTGTAACTTGAGTACAGATGATGTCAAAGTTTGTTACGATCACTACTATGAGACAATGTCAATGTATATCCTCTTTTCTTCGGTTTCTAATTGCTTTTTAACTGGAAACTATTGGAGCATTGTGGTTTTGGAATGTCGAAACCCTTGTTGCATTTCCTCATGGTTTCTGTACTTCCATGCCTCCATAGAAAGTTTTGTGTAGTCCTTTCGGTAATTATCCTGATTATACTATTTGTTGGGGAATTAATTACCAGCTGCTTTCATTTCTCTAAGACGTATCTGTATCATAGTGGACAATTTTCCCCCTATTGCTTATTTGATGTAATGGATTATTTTTCTTACGTTTATGCATCATTTTATTATCAAATCTTCATGGCAGTATTATCAACATGCTTGAAACATTAGTTCTTCTTATATGTGTGGTGGCCATCCAGGTCCATACAGTTTCCTTCGCAATCGGCTTATAATGCTGGAATTAGGTCAATTAGCAGGAAGGGTCGCTTCAGATTGGAGACGGTAATTTTAAACAGTATACACAATGAAGTTGTTTTCTTTTACTTTATAGAGAAAAAGAAGAAGCAAGAAATTGACCATTTTCAAGCCTACTTACTTCTAATGACAGGCTGGTCGCTCGCAGTGGGAAACATTAAAACCCTATGATGGAAAAGCTGTATGTTGAAGTCTTTCTCTACTTAGTTGTTTCTTTTCATTGTTTTGTCCATCCTTAAAATCCACTCCTCAAACATACACGGTTGGTAGAATTCTGCTGTCTTTTCCTAAAAATCAGTGGTAATATTTGTTCACCTGGTGGAATACAAACTACACTTCTTTTACAAGAAGCTGTTAGAACTAAAATGTTGTTCCTCGTTTCTTTTTCTCCCCTTCTTTGCAGATCTTACTTCAAGGAATCCCCCGTAATGCTTTGATGGAGGATGTGCAGCGATTCCTCTCTGGTTGCCAGTATGATGCATCCTCCATGCAGATGTTTTTCAGGTTAGTTCTGAAGAGTTATAATAAGAGTGAGAGAAGAAAGGGTACTGAAGTTTGAAGAAGGATGGTTGTTATGTGATAACTTCCTTCTCCTAATATCCTCTGAGGTGCATATATATTTTTTGTTGTTGCAGACAGGCATTCCCAAACACGATTAGAATGGCACTTGTGCATTTCCCTTCACAGGCTCTTGCGATGCATGCTTTCATTACCAAAAATCAAGGTTTTTGTCTGAATAGTCAAATCTTGGTGCGGATCCTCCATTAGTTTTTTCTCTTGTGCGGATCCTGGTAACATTGGTTGCCCTTTTCGTTTGGGCGGTGCTTTAGCATACAAGGGACGCTAGGATGTGGAAGTGGCAATTAGATGACCGAACTCCTGTATCCCTAATTTGCAATCTTCAAAATTTGTTGAAACAATTACGTTTGAATTTTCTTGTTTAATTTGTACTTTTCTTATGCTTGAGTTATTTCCATTGACCAATCAGGCACTGACTTTTCCATGAATTTTTAAACTAACCATGGAACTACAAGGAAAGTTGGAGAGATGTGCATTCGTCATCATTAACTTTGGAAGGAGAATTATATTTGTATTCCGTCAGGTTGTGGGGACAGAAATGGATTTCTATAATACTTATGTTTTTCTTCTCAAATAGCATGTTGATGTTATGTACCTTTTCTTGGTTGCTATTAACTGCTTGCCACTGTTGCCGCTATAGCAGCGCAAGCTCATCTCTTCAATATGTTCACTGGTGTTGGCTTGCTTTGCCCAGGATAATCAACCAGTAAAAGTGTGTTTTATCTGTCAAACATCTCAGGAAAATCTAGGCAATCTAAATGCCGTAGTTCTGAGTCTCAGAGATGCCATCGCTTGTCAAACAGTATCAATTATATCTGCTTATATCTGAAACAAGGTAATGCGAAATATTGGCTTTATTTTTCCTCCTATCTTGTCATGTTGAGGTCGTCTTCTTTTCAATGTTTTCTAAGATAATGGAGGAGTGACTGAGTTGCAAGTGGATTAGAAGAAACTGAGAAACAAATTGACAATCTGAATTTAGGTACCAATCGAAGGAAACAGATGAAAAGTAGTACAAGAAAAATGCTTGGTTTAGTTGGGTAGCATTCTATATTCTAGTTTCGTAACATGAGGAATAACAAACATCGCCAATCCCACTCTCTCTCTACAATTAAATGCAAGAGGATTCCTCTTTTCCTTATCATTTTTTTTCTGAGTCACCTGTCTTAGAAGAAATTCAGAATAATTCTTCTATATCTCAAGAAGCATCAGGCACATTTTCTTTTGCAATTCAAGTATGGGAACGTTGTTTTTGTCTATGTGCTGGTTTTGCACGCACCTGCCAGCTTTTTGTATGAAAAATGGGCCACTTTCTTAAGATACAAACTCCTCAATAGTCACTGCGGAAGTACCTTACGCAAAAGAAAACAATCACCTCAAAAACCATGCCAAGAGTCTTGGCAACTTCCAGAAATATCATGTTTGCCTTTTTATGGAGAATCGGTTTCTTCAAATATTATAGGTAAATGACCAAAGCATCGCATGTGGTCTACTAAGCTATCCATCATAGCTAGAATGTGTGTGTAATTGGAGTTGGATATGTCTTCAGCTCTAAACTGGTAAACTCCATTCTTGATCTCAACCCAACTACGTCCAGGATCTGTTTTCAGGCACTTATCCTTCATCAATTTCCGCACTCTTGCTGCCTGATCCCAGTACCCAACACTGGCATACAAGTTTGCGAGCTGCAAGTGGGTAACAGCGCACGATGGCTTCAGTAAAAGCCTGTTCTCAGCAGCTTCGATGCCCACCCAAACATTCTCATGAAGCCTACAGGAAGAAAGTAATGAACCCCATATGACAGCATTAGGACTGATGGGCATTCTTTTGATGAAATCCCTAGCCTCTTCTAGCATACCTGCTCGACCAAGGAGGTCCACAATGCAGGAGTAATGGTCTTGCCCCGGATTTACACCATACTCTGCCATTAAGTTGAAGAAAAATCTGCCTTGTTTGACTAAACCTGCATGTCGACAAGAAGTCAAAATTCCAAGAAAAGTAATGGCATCAGGCTTCACCCTCTGGTGCGTCATTTCTTCAAAAAGCCCAACAGCCTTCAACGCAAGGCCGTGCAGTGCATAACCAGCAATCATGGAATTCCATGAAACCAAATCTCTATTATCTGTTTCCCAAAATATAGCCAAAGCATCCTCAACGCTGCCACATTTACAATACATAGATATAAGAGCATTAGCAACATGTATGTAGCAATCAAAGCCGGTGAGAATTGTTTGACAGTGAACACTCCTCCCTTTCCCAAGACACCCACTACCGGTGCATGCACAGAGAAAGCTCGCAAAGGTAAAAGCATTGGGCTTCAACGTCAAATCCCTCATTTTACGATAAAGCTGCAAACAGATGTCAATCCGGCATTCTTGCGCAAAACCATTTATAATTGCAGTCCACGACACAATATTTCTTGTGGGCATTTCATCGAACACTTTATAAGCACTATTGAGTACTCCGCATTTGCTGTAAAACGTGATCAAAGAACTGCCAACATAAACATTGCAGAGGAACCCATTAATGACTGCCAGACCATGCATTTGAATGCCTGCACTTACAGCTCTCTCGGACCCGCATAAACTCAAAGCATTTGACAAAACACTTGGACCAACACTCAACCCTTGTTGATGACGTCTAAACAGCTCTAAAACTTTTGAACTCTCGTTTGCGTTTGGAGGGTTTCCTATCCTACCGCCTTGGGATTCCGGGAATTGAAGTGAATTGGTTGTTCGCAGAAAGTCGTCGACGAGGCGAAGATGGTTTTTGCGATTGCGGACGACATCAGGCTTTGAAGCTATAATATCGAGGACCCTTTGGCCTTTGACCACCAGCGTCTTAGTTTTTGGAGGGTTTCTCAGCATAGGAATGGAGTTTGCCTGGAGTACCCTCCCTTACCATTCATATTCGCCCAAACCCCTCCTCAAAATGATACGGCCCTCTTCTTTTCAGTTTCCCCTCCTCCTATTATTTTCGTAAAATTGCTCAAATGTTTAGAAAGATATAATTCATCTGCAATAGAGATTCTCTCGGTCTAACAGTTGTGAAATTTCCCGGTGACCATATCTGAAACGAGGAAAAATGAATTCCTCCCGCCACACGCAATTACTCTCTAATAATGAATTTCTGCCACCTCACGCAATCCTCTAACGAATTTCTGCGTGACATATGAATACGTCTCATAGCCATTGGCAACGGTCAACCAAGCAATCACAATTTATTTTTTTTCCTTTTTTTTTAACAAAAAAAAGCAGGGAAATGATGGGATTTAAGAAGCTGGTTAGGATCTCTAATTCTTGGGTTCTCAGCCTAAACATGAAAAATTACTGAAAGATGATGCCATTGTACCAGGGATAGCAAATTGAAAAGATTGTTAGAGGGATTCTTGGGAGGAAGAACAAAGACATGCTTAATCGCCACCCTTTCTCCATCAATTCATTCCTTGGAAGAGACTCTTAACACTCTTGGAATATGCGATTCGTGCTAAAAGTATCAAGAACAGGCCGGAGGAATCTCATAGCTTCGATAGAATGTGACTATTATTTCAACCATAATTGTCTTCGTGATACTATCAGGATGATATCTTGGACCTCTGAGTCCGGACGTATGATGGAATATTGTTACTGCAGACTTAGTACAGCTGGACGATGATGCATGTCAGAAAGCTAAATCTATTCTGGGTCCATGCTTTGAGGATATGAAAGAAATGAAAACCATCCACGGGCAGAAAATTATTGAAATTCAAGAAAATGCCAGAAAGTACCCAGAAATTGGTTATTCCTGAACTGTCTTACGTAGAGAAAGATTTGTCATCAGCGTCTGACATGGTGTTTGTTGTGGAAACAAAGCAAGAACAAGCTAGATGTTTTGTTAGCATCCATTAAGAAGCTAACTAATTATCATCCAATAAACAATAATAGATTACATGCATCTCCATTCATATTACACTTACTAAGACTCGATATGTCAAAGTTTGATCGAATCCACGTTCTCAGAAATCAGTTTTGCTGCAATATTAATGCTGGCACTTGTAATTTCCAGGTTAACGATAATGTATTAGTCGCTGAAGAAAAGCAAAGCATCACTTTGCGACTATATTCAGCTAATCATTCACAAATATTAATTTGAGCTCCAGCACCATTAAACTTCAAGAGCAGACTACTGACTATTCGACCCCCGTGTCTTGAATGATACAACAGTAGGCTTTTAGAGTTTGACCTTCTTTGGAACGGCTATTTTGAAATCAATCGATATGATTCCATTATCCAAGTAAAGAAGGGACTAACATTCCATTAAAACCAAGTAAACTGAACAAATGTCAACCAGTAAGTATTTCCAAAATCTCCAACATCATATATATATAGCCTTATGCAAGCAACCTATGATGTTCACATCCCAATAGCGGACGGCAATACTTGGACACCATGAGGTGGGCATTGGAAGGTTTTAATATAAGCAGGGGGCCGGGGACTCGCCAATCTTCTAGATGTAGAGTGCGCAGGGCGTTGAACCCAAATGCATTGTTGTTCAGGACTTGCACTATTTTACAGCTTGCAACCAACTCCCTTCCAAATTCTTATAAGGCACGCCTTCTTCTCCGAACACCCAAGGTTGGCAGTTTCATTTTGTTGTGGATCTTGATTGAAGAAGTGCCATCATATTCATAATCTTCTTGCTCTCTATCTCCATGCATGTAAAACCACAACCGAGAATCCCTATCAAATCGTATACACGGGTCAAGTTCATAGTGCAAGCGGTCCAAGGCTCCGCTTACAACATGTTCAACTTGATCATCATCGATGTCTTCAATAATGAACTGAGAGTCCCTAACTAGAGTACATATATCTGATCTTGTACCCATGCCGTCAGGTAATCTAGCAGCTGCATCTCTCACAAGGCAAAGCATAGTGAAACAAGGAGGCCGATTGGGCTTTAAAATGAAATGGTCCCGGGCTTTTCTTGATGGCTTACCACTACACCTCCTCATAGGAGCAACTGAAGATTTCTTGCCGTCAACAGTTGTATAAGAAAATGACTGTTGTGGGACTAAATACCTCAAAGCTTCTTCCATGCGGAAATATGCTCTCACTTGCTCACTGCTTGGACTAATGGTGGCAATGCTAATCTTCAGATTTCTTGTGGCGCTAAACCTTTCAGCGCTGCTCCAATGTACCATGAACTCCAATGGTGGGGGAGGAAGATTCCAAATCTTCTGAAGCATGTCTCTTGAGGCTCGCAGCCATTCAGAAAAGCACTCAACTAGCTTATTAAGAGTTTGGCTCCTCAAGCCCCAAGCCTTGGGAGATACACAGGCACATTCACCTCGAAATAAGAGAGATGGGATTGGACCAATCCATGACCAATGTTTACTAGATTTGTGATACGTAATCAGCGGCTGCCAGGAAGGTACCCCTGAAGGAGCTATTGTCGATGAAAATATCTTTAAAGCTCCCCGGACTAAATCCTTAAGAGACGCTTTCAGCTCAAATATACGTGCGTCTCCAGGGCTGGATCTCAGCCGTTGCACGATTTCTTCAATTGTAAGAGAAGGCAATTTCTTCTGTACACATTCTGAAGCATTGATGCATTTGTCACTCTTATGCAGTTGAAAGACAGAATTGCTTCTTGCATCTTTGCCAATGATTTCCAGACAGAGGCCATGTCTAGGTCCTTTTCCACTGTTGGCAACCTCCACTCGCCTGCTATGTGTTACAGTAAAATCTTCTGCGACTGGAGTGATCAATACAAGCCGAACAGCAGAAAGAAAGTGAATAATGGAAAATTCCGAGTCAAATGCAGAAGCGGATATCTTTTTAGGATTCCTATTCTGGTTGGTAGGTGCTTTTGCAAGGAGCCGATCCACCGAACCTGCGAGAAACTACCATGATTGTCCAACTTGCATGAATCACATTCAGCGTTAAGTTTTCCAGTCATTTGTTACACAGCTTACCTGTGTCTTTTGCCAAGTCCATCAAAACATTGGCAGCATCCAAATCTTCCTGCTCTAGCATGTCATGTGACACTCTTCCAATGAAGTCTTTGTTTCTCATAGCAGCTTCCTACGTAATTAATTTCACAAATAAAAAGCAGAAAATAGATGTCATAATGTCATATCTTTATATGCAAAATACATGCACATCTTCACTCATGATGATGCAGCAGGAAGGATGACAAATATTGGTAGCCCACTAACGTGCCAAAAAAGGGAGAGAATGAATAAATAGAGAGGGAAGAGGAGGGAGAAGGAAAAGGGAGAGGGAGCAAAGAGGAGGAGGGAGGGGAGTGGTGGTGATCAGTGATCAGTGATGGTGATGGTGGAGGGGAGTGGTGGGTGGATCTTTTTATTAAAAAAAAAAAAAGTTCTAATAAAATTTTATATTTTAAAAACACACTCCGACAAGCAACTACAATAAAATTTGTTTTATATATAATGTTATAGTAAAATTTTTGAAAAATACTTCCAATACATCAAATCCATACGAGAGCCATAGTTTCAGAGCAAAGATCAGAGAGAGGGAGCAAATTCACGGATTGACAATTTTACCCCCAGCAAATGAGAAAGCATTCGTGGTCAAATCCTACACACACTTGAAAGTGGCTTCAGAAGTCCAAACCCATTACTCATATAATCTAGTCAAATAATATCTTCGTTCTTCCAGTGGTAGTGGGAGTGTGTAATTAGGAGGAAGAAGAAGCTTTATAAATCAACTTCTGCATGATCAATGGAACAGCAGTGCATGCAATTTTTGTTTCACAAGGGAAAGACCCCATTGGATTGGAATGAAATAAAGCACCAGGTAAAAATGCCAAACGATAAAAGAGAGCGACCAACAACGAGAAAGAGAAAAAACAGTGTAGGCAAGGTACCGGAGGGGTAGGGTCGATCAGCCCTTACTTGGAAGAAGTATTTAGGTGATTACGGGGTGGGGCCGCCGCGGGGACCTATCTGCATTGGTCATGCAAACAAATGATCAGGCGATCAATTTAAGATTGATGAAAAATGAAAATTCATTACCACATTACCTTACCTGATTTTTATGGGGGGAAGCCAAGAAGACCAAACCACAACAGTAAACAATCGAGTCCAAGGCATCTCCAACTTTAAGAACGCAGCAAACGAACCAGTTCATTCGAGTTGATCAACGACATCTGTATCTTTGTTATCGAATTAGAGATGGAATGCAAGAAACGTACGAAATTAAAACACAGACCAAACGAAAATTAGTCCCAAAAAAAAAAAAAAACGACGTATAGAATCCACAAGAGAAGTGTTAATAAGGGGACGTACCCACTTATGACGCTGTCAAAGTGAGGGGTTGATGCTTGGCGACCTCTATGCACACATTAAAGACATGCATGCACGAGAAGTGTTAATAAGACTCGTTAAGAATCGATTTCAGCGAGAAGAAAACCCAAAAACTCGAGCAATAAGAATCGGTCTCTGAGTCTCGGACGAAATTAGCACGAATTTTATCGAAGATGAAGACAAGTAAACAAACTTTGACCAAAAAAGAAAAAGGTTCAGATTTAGGGAAAAAATTATCCAATCGGTTTTGTCGAACAGGAAACAATAAATCGGGAAACAAAAGGAAAATCGATTTCGAGAAATGCAGCACGAAACGATTACGAAAGTAGTTTGTTCAACTTCGATCAGTGTGCTGTCACGAAGAAATACCCGACGAAAAAAGAACGGAGGAAAGGAAGAAAAAGAAAAGGAAGTAAAAAAAAAAACAATCAATGATTTGCAAAAGCCAATCACCTTATGGCTTCATAAGTTGTCTGGATCGCTCCCGATTCAGTTCCTAAGGCCAAAACTGTAGAAGGATTTAGATTAGTAAATCCTTTTGGTCATAAGGAGAAGGGAAAAAAACGAGAGATAGATGGGAAAAAAATGGGGGCGAAGAGGGCGGCACTTTGTCTCGGTGCATAGAAAAGAGAGAGGAGAAGGTGGAGGAGGAGCGCAGCGGGATAGACGAGTGAAGAGACGGAGTGAAGAATGAGAATCGGTGTTGAAGTTGAAAAGAGGAGAGAGGAGGAAGACGATTCTGACATGGAGGGAGGATCTTAATGCGAAATGACATATTTGGTCAAATGGACGATTGCGCCGAGTCTTGGATAATTATTGCTCTTTTAAGTATCCCCTCGCTAGATTTCTCTTTACGGACTGGAGTCATATCCGAGCATTCCGTTGAGTCCAAAATTAGTACCTTAGCAGCGCTTTCTTCGGTTTTTCTTTTTTCTTTTTTGAATAAAATTGAGGCTATGAAGTTTTTATCCTTTTGGACAAATCTAGTAATTAATTAGATTTTTTTTTTTATCAATAAAAATACTTCACATTTGATAGTAGAACTCGTAATTTTACATCACATACACTTCAAATAAGAGTGTGGAGTCCTTGTCCGTCTAACTGAAGAATTTTATTGGCTAAAGATCATTAGAACATTTTGACACATAATCTTGGCACAGCTGATAAGCGAGTTGCTAATGTTAATAGGAGGTCGCAACTTTCACTTCTACGTGTGATTTCTTGAAAAATTCTAAATCAATCATTTATCCCCAAATAAGAGTTGGGCCTAAGATAAATTGTTACAAGCAAAAAGAATCATTGGAACATTTATATTTGTTAATTAAAAAAAAATCGTCCAAAACGTCCATCATATTTTGTAAAATGACTAAAATCTAGACTTGGGCCCGAGATAAATTGTTACAGCGCCGCCAGACAATTATCAGGACATAATCTTCAACAGGCCTACTGAGCCCAAGTATCAAGATGGCCATGGGCCCTGGAATGATGGAACCACTCCTTTCTCGCACAATTATCTTTTTTTTTTTTTTTCGGCAACATTTTCTCGCACAATTCAAATTGCTAGTACTACCATATTACCCGCGTTATTATTACTGGTAAAATTTTCCGAATGATGCTCGCAAAGACACTGCGGCTTCATATGCAAGTGCAAACCGCAGCCGCCATCAACTGCTGCCCCCGCCAAGCCCTTCCGATATTTATTCCCCGCCACCCTATCGACTACGCATTCTACGGGCACCTCATTCAGCATTGCACCGACCACCAGCTTGTCCGCCAAGCCAAGCAACTCCACGCCAGGCTCGTCCTCTGCTCCACAATTCTTGACAATTTCCTTGCTTCCAAGCTCATCACCTTTTACTCCAAAAACCATCTCCTCCGTGAAGCCCATCACGTGTTCGATCACATTCCCCAGAAGAACACTTTCTCTTGGAATGCCCTCCTCATTGCCTACTCTCTTCATAACCGTTACGAGGAAGCCCTTACCCTGTTCTCTTCATTTTTATCTGTTAATTCGAATTCAGTATCTGCAAAACCTGATGGTTTTACGGTCACTTGCGTGCTGAAGGCGCTGGCCGCGGTGACCACCCATTCAGTTTTTGCGGACATTATGCACTGTTATGTCGTGAAGAAACGGATTGATGCAGATGTCTTCGTGGTGAATGGTTTGATAACGTGCTACTCGAGGTGTGATGACATGGTGTCGGCGCGGTATTTGTTCGACGAAATGCCCTGTAGGGACCTAGTGTCATGGAATTCAATGATTTCGGGATACTCTCAAGTTGGCTATTACGAGGAATGCAAGCTACTGTACAGGGAAATGTTGGATTCAAAGGAATTTCGTCCTAATGGGGTCACGGTTGTCAGTGTTTTGCAGGCATGCGCACAGTCAAACGATCTCGTTTTAGGGATGGATGTTCATAGGTATGTGATCGAGAGCGGGATTGAGGTGGATCTTTCTGTCTGCAATTCAATTATTTCCCTCTACGCAAAGTCTGGTAGCTTGGATTATGCCAGAGAGCTGTTCGAGGAGATGAGTGAGAAGGATGAGGTTACATATGGTGCCATTATTTCAGGATACATGGTTCATGGTTTTGTTGATAAAGCCGTTGCTCTTTTTAGGGAGATGAGGAGTCCGCGATTGAGTACTTGGAATGCTGTTATTTCGGGTCACGTTCAGAATAATCAGCGAGTAGCGGCTTTAGATTTAGTTCGAGAGATGCAAAAGTTAGGTTGTAGGCCTAATTCTGTGACACTTTCAAGCGTACTTCCCACACTTTCATATCTTTCGTATCTGAAAGGAGGGAAAGAGATGCATGCTTACGCTATTAGGAACAATTGTGATGGTAATGTTTATGTAGCAACTGCCATTATTGATACCTATTCAAAGTTGGGGTTCATTGACGGTGCACAAAGTGTTTTTGATAGGACAGTATGTAGGAGTCTGATTATATGGACAGCTATAATCTCAGCACATGCAGCCCATGGAGATGCCAGTGTAGCACTTCGTCTGTTTAATGAGATGTTAAATAGCGGGTTACAGCCAGACCCAGTTACAATTACGGCTGTTTTATCAGCTTGCTCTCATGCAGGATTGGTTAGAGAAGCCTGGGGAATATTTCATTCTTTGGTCCCAAAGTATGGCATTCAGCCGTCAGCTGAGCATTATGCATGCATGGTTGGAGTTCTAAGTAGGGCAGCGAAGCTTTCTGAAGCTTTAAATCTCATAAATGGAATGCCAATTAAACCGAGTGCCAAGGTTTGGGGTCCATTGCTTGATGCGGCTTCTTTGTCTGGTAATGTGGAGCTTGGGAAGTTCATTTGCGACCACTTGTTCCAGCTGGAGCCTGAAAATACAGGAAACTATGTCATAATGGCAAATTTATATTCAAAAGCTGGGAGATGGGAAGAAGCAGAAGTGATTAGGGAGAAAATGAAGAATATTGGGATGAAGAAAGTTGCTGGCAGTAGTTGGATAGAAAACCATGGAGGCTTGCAAAGCCTTATCCTTGAAGATGTATCTGATGAAAAATCTGAATAAATATGTGGTTTGTTAAAACGATTGCCTGAATGGGTGGGAGGAGGAATTCATGTTATGATGTGCTGTGGAGAGCATTTGTTTTTGCTTGCTGAGGAGTTGGTACGAGTTGAAATTCATCTGAGAGACTGATTTGGTTAGCTCAGTCAAAAGAAGATCACTTCTCAGGCAATATCAAGGGTTTCTGAACATATCTGGTTGAACTATAAATCATTCCCGAACATAAGAACAACCAATGAAATACAATTTGGTAAGCAAATATGTTTGTCCAATTTCCTATATTACGTAAACAGCTATTTCTGGCTCACTGAGGCACACATTAGTTGGAAGGTAGCAGAATAACTTCCATCCTCTCCATCAGTTCAGCATTTGAAGCGTATCATACTTGGGGGTTCAAAGTTGATGAACGAGCTATTGGATTGTGTACTGAGATGCCAAACATTTCATTTGTGCTTTACTTGAGATGAGAAGTATATCCATGTATCAAGATCCCATGCGATACTGGGAGCTGTATTGCTCGTTAACCTGACAGGTATTTTATGAGATTACTTTTTAAAGAGGTATTCGTGAGCTTTTGAAGTTCCGCTACTCCACCAGAGCGGCAACTAATCAACTTCTGGTCACTGTTTGATGGCAGAGAAGACAGTGCCTCCATTGGCTTCACAGACCATTGTTCCATGTTATTCAGCAGCCATGCCGGCCCAAATGGCTAGCCGTTGGTAATTTGGGATACACCATGGGTTTATTTCATCCATGAACAGATTTCAGCTGGTTGCAACGTATACCTACGAGCATAAGCAACTATTAGAGGTAAACAATTTTAGTTTGCTTTAGATTCAGGTACTAGTTACGTGCACTGAATCTATCTGATGTTCTTTATTTTGAGGATGACGGAGAACTCCAATCCTTCTGTCAAGTGAAATATAGATTTTTTTGCCAAAGGCATTTTATCCTAAAACCACATACAGTTAATTAAAGAGCAGGGGAGAAAAAGAAAAAAACTACGCAATTGCTTTAGTCTGAAGGCTAGCAGCCTAGCATTCTCAAAACAAGATTAAATTTTGCTCGTTCACCGTATCTAGGGACAAGAGTGTTGAGCAGTAGAGCAAAAAATTCATCACTGCAGCATTTTACCATTTAGTTAACATGATTAAACCCGCAATGCCCAAGGATAGCATCTACCTGACCTAGGATCCCGCGACAACTAAACCAATGCATGTAATTCTTGCACATAGAACATGCAATTTCTCTTCATTCTTCTGCACCCTTCCAACCATACAGCAACTTATTTGGTGTGTGCCTGTATGGAACCCCATGATCTCTTGCCTTTAAATGGTAACTTTTCAAACTTCTTTTCTCCGAAGGATTGTAAGCCTAACAATTGTCTGTCTTATAATTCGTGATGTGCAATCAATTATTCGAGTGCTATCACCAGACTTGATGTTGAGGTTGTGGTTTTGTGGACAGAAACACGGAGGAGTCATCGCCTCTCGCCACATCTAATGTTAATTGTTTCATAATCATACCCAACGAAGTGCCCATAGCCCAAGAAGTGTGGTGAGAGATGAAGGCGGGGACTGCAAGTGCGAACGGTGACAGAGCCCTTGATAAGCGCTGACTATGGCGAATTGCGCCTCCTGCATTATTAATTCTACTTTATAGGACCAAGACATATTACTTAATCGACGAATGGGCCAATTGTTCTTTAATACTCTTCTGCTTGTTCTTTATCATCCTCATCAAAACCAAAGAAAATGAAAAGGAATGGACTGGCCAACTTCTTTGAACCGGACACCTACTCGCGGACAAAAGCCCGACATTCCCAGCCACTCGCTTCTCTTCTACTCCACCACCTCACCACTTCATTTGGTCACCTCCAAACTTTCATGGCTCTGCAACCGATATATTCTTGAATAAGTACAATTCTTTAAATAGAGGGTATTGCCTGATCAACTATGAGCATAGTGGGATGAGTATATTGAGAGAGTTACTGCATGCTAATTAAAATTAGAGATTTTACATATGTTGGAAGTTTGGATGGCATCAATCAACCACCAATGATTTTCTTGTTACAAAGTAGGAAATGGGCTGCAACACCTTTTGAATATAATATTTATATATAAGATAAAAATATGATTAGAAAATGTATTGATAATATACACAAATAAAAATTGATAAATAATTTATGATCCAAACGATTCCATAATACAAACCTGAACAGGATTTAGAATTAGCACGGCCATACTATGTTTTAACGAAACATTTAATTCTTTACTGTGCGTTCTTTAGATTAAGATTCATTAAGACAGAAATTACTACATAACTGCAATATTTTCAATGTGAATAAAGTGGCTGGGTTGTAAAGAGCTGTGTGGATAATCATGATTGAGTCAAAAGAACTCCAGGTATAAAAGGCCACGGCAAGATACAAAGTAAAGTCCCTCCTAACGCCTTAGCACATGATCCCATGATGGCTGACCAAAATTCCGCAGAAACCACAATCATGGCTGCACTTTCCACACTAACCCCTCCCCAACTCTCAGATCTAACCCACTCCGTCTCCTCCCTCTTCCACCTCTGCTACCGCCGCCTCTACTCCATCCTCTCAATCCCCACACTCTTTAACCTCACTCTCCACCACCTCCAATCCCTTCCCCTCCAGCACAAATCCCTTCTCATTGCCCGCCACCTCTTGTCCAACCTCACCATCCTAACTCGCTTCATGCAAAACAGCTCTACTGGTAATTCTTTCCCTGTCCCAGCAAATTTTGCCAGCTCCATGAAGCTCCGTGACCTCGACGCAGTCGTCCTCCTCCTGCTTCTTTGCGAAATCCGTCAGCTCTACCCGGAAGTGCTTGAAACTCCCTCGTCACGTTGGCGCTCTATTCTTTGTGACTACATCTCCCGTGACATGTTGAAACCCTCGGGAATTGAAGTTTCCAGTGCTCAAGTCTTAATCAAGTACGTGGAGATGGTGACCAAGTGTAAGCGGTTTGTCAGCGTAATGGCCAGCAACGACAGTGTGAGTGTGGGTGGAAAAGGTGGGATCGAGGCAGCGACCGCGGTGGCCGTAGTTGTGGCCCTGCCTTCGGTGGAGGTGAGTGGGAATAGCTTGGAATGCGTGATATGTAAGGAAAACATGAAACAAGGAAGAGATGTTTGCAAGTTGCCGTGTGATCATTTGTTTCACTGGATGTGTATATTGCCTTGGTTGAAGGAGAAGAACACTTGTCCTTGTTGCCGGTATAGGCTGCCGACCGACGATGTTTTTGGCGAGATTGAGCGGTTGTGGGAGGTCATGGCCAGCATGGGCGGCGAGGGCAAGCTTTAGCCTTTAACTGCGTAATGACTGCTGATGCAGAACGTTTTTCTCCTCACTCGGAGGGGAGGATCCCATGCTGTACTCCAGCTTAGAGAGTACTGGGTACCAACTATCAACTTTATACGAACTTTCCAACATGTTAGCTTTTTAAGGTTATCTTCTTCTGGTAATTAATTGGCATTGTAAGCAGTAATAATAATATGTTCAAGTTGGATAACATGGTTGTGGTAGATCCTTCTAGCTAAGAAATTTTCTGCTCTTGATATATGTGTCAAATTATGCAATAATCAATCGCTGATAATCACGCTTAATATGATCCTTGGAAATACAAATTGTTCCAGTGGTGTATATGTTGGTCAAATACAAGAACCTGCTACCGAGATGGGTAGCTCAATCAGGCCAAACAAACATACTCGATGCTTGGAAGTTCTTCTTGATGAAGGAATGGTTGGAGGAATGGGTTTGAAGAATGAGAGGAATCACAAGTTCTTCTTGAAGGTACAGATCATATAGATTTATGCGGTGTTTGTTACTTCATGTTTTCTGTGGTTTAGGTTGGCGATTTGAGTTGGGCAAACTCCAAACCAGATGTTTTTTTGCTAGTCTCCTCCTATTCGTTAACTCAATCCAAATATTGACAAGGACGGTGATACACGTACATTCATTTCTTCGGCCTACATATGATAACCCACCCTAACCCATTGGTCGAAGCTAGCTTTCCAACCAAAACCTGCCATTAATTAGTACACTTTGACCCTTGACTTACATACTTTCTGTAATATACAAACATTATTATGTATAGTAAATGAAAAACAAACATTATGTATAGTAATACTATCTTATTATTTTGTTTACAAGTCTTAATTAAAAGACATGACTAGATTTTAATGATACAAATCAATCACGAGGAGTTTAAATTGCGGCATATATAGGAGATTGTCACGCAGGAATTTAACGAGATAAGAGTGATGGCTAAGCTGCTGCCGGTGGTACTAGCCCAAGCAGCTTGTCGTTTTCTCTCTTCCACTTTTTCTTTTTTTTTTGGGTCAAGTAAAAAACAGATGAGGGATAACTGATAAGAAGTAGGGAGAGACAAGGGGGGCATTGAACCCAAGACCTGCTTTCTCTTCTCTCTTTTTGCTGTGGCAAAATGTTACATGCATAAAAGACGCTGGACTCCCACTAGGTCTAACTTCTGCTAGGGTAAATTTGTTCCCCACACATTGGGGGCATTTGGCTTCTCTCCGACCCATGGATTCTCTTTTTATTTTTTACAATACACATCTAGGTTTCATTTCATTTACTAGGAAAGAGACATAATCATTTTAAATTTAATTAATTCTAACCCGCACATGTCATGCATTTAGATGTGTATTGCGAAAAATGAAGAGAGAATCGACTAGAGAAGAGTTTAGGTCCTCTCACATTCTCCGTCTTATTTACTTTTTCCCTTTCTCAGTATTCTTACGTAGATGATGTGTTGGTAATTTGAAGTGTATTGCACCTTAATTTTACATACATGAAACAATCGGATCTCAGGATTCTTGAAATATTTTGGGAGAGGGTACGTACACTTCGGAATAAGAATATGCAATCAATTCACCATATATATATATATATATATATATATAATCAAAAAAATAAAGAAAAAAAAAAGGGATTAAAACAGGTGGAGCCGGGAGCCGTGGAGAAGAACAGAGCTTTTGGGGTATCTCTAGTCAATGGCTTGATGAAGCCCAATAAATAGTTTAAGAGTCCAACATTTTGCTCTAGCAGCCCAGGTTTATTGGAGCTTTATCTGGGGAGTACGTAACTCCAACGGTATCACATTCAAACAAGGCTCACTCTATTTGATTTGAATCAGGCCCAATCCATTCTCAGAAAAAGAAGAATGCCCAATAAAGCTATCGTGTCTGGATGTCCAAAACAAACTTAGGTTGACCCAATTTTCAAAAAACCAATAATATGATTCAAATTGAATCACATCATCTCATCCAATGATATAACATAATTTCAGTCATCAGAATTTTAAAAATGATATAATCTACCCAAGTGTAAGCCATCATTGGATGCCCGTCAAATATGGGGAGCGGTTTTTTGTTTTTTTTTTAACATCTGTTTAGCTATGGTAGCTATTTAACTTTTCTCCCAAAAATATATCTTGTGTATAGGAATTTCTCGAGAGAACAAGAGGATCTCGGAAAGAAAAATGAAAACTAGTTGGATATCCTATTTTTTTCAAATAATATTTTACTTGTATCATAAACACATTTTTTCAACTTACCGTTTTATATTTTCAATCACTTTTTTTATCTCGCATACATTACATCACAAAAAATATTATAATAATTATTTTAAATAATATTTCAAAGAACACACTCTATCTACACAGATCCACTGTACTATCAGCCAATGGTAGAAGTTGTCGTGATGCACTTATTGTAATTTTTTTTTTTTTTGGGCAATGAACTTATATATTGATGTATTGTTAAACGATGATCTTTATCCTGATCAAAGAACATGAAGGGCCAGCCAACCGTCACTTTCATGTTTCAGCCCCATTATATGATGTCATGTTCTGAAACGTGGAAATGAATGCGGCGAGGATATGAATGTACATGTAGATGCCCCCCGAAATGGGGGAATTCGGGAGGGGATGGCATGGTTTTAAAATCCACCAAACCCTTCATCAAAATTTAAGTTTTAACTTACTCCGTGGTCCGCCCGAACAATTCCATCAAAACATTGCCGCTTCTTTTAAGCCATTTCGTCGTGTATTTTGGGCTGTGTCCCTCCAATCCAAACCCCATTTGAATGCTACTGTTTCTTTATTGTCTTTTCTTTCTCTCTTTAGTAATGAGAAGGTGTGTGTAGGTGGACAAAATCAAGTAGAGATGAAGGCAAGAGCGCTTAACTTTGAGTGCAATGCAACCTGCTGCTAGCCTTTTGAAAACAATACTCGATTTAAATGGACACGGATTTCCCTGCGATCATTGCTGCTTGCCGCTACCAAACCGACCCCAATAGGGAGTTTTTGTTTGTGTTTGGCAACAGCACATGACACATTATTATTACTCCTACTATCAAAAAAAATTTCTGGCTCAGGCAGCAAAAAGTTCAATTTTGCTTTTCGGAGAAGGTAAGTCCAGAATCGGATCAAACCAGTGCACTATGCATCCATATAAATTTAGCATAGAATAACATATTGATCAGAGGAGGCAAGGTTATTTGAAGGGAGTAGTTGATCTGGTATGCTTTCAAGGTGAATTAAGAGGGTAGAGGGGAGGCCTCCCACCGCCCACACGCGTCTGCTTGCGGTTTTTGTCTATTGCTGGCGGCAGGTTTAATGTGAGCGAGTGATCATCATGCTAAACAACAACACGAGCAATGAGTGAAGCCATAGATGGAGTTGAGGGTTAATGCAGGAAGCATCACGTGACTGCATCAAAACTGCATACTTATATACATCATCAATAATAGTGTATATATTATTACCGTTGAATTAATAATATATATGTAAAATTTGAATTTTAAATTTTAAATTTACATAATTGTCATTCATTTGATACTAACAATAATATCTATATTGACTAACAATAACATCTATACTGACAATCAGTATAGAAAAAACTAATCCAAAAAAAAAGAATCATATTTTTTTCACTCTCGTATAGGACTGTTCGCGAATCAAGCCACTCGCGAGCCGATTGCAAGTGGTTGGAATACGAACTCAAGTGGAGCTTGAGCTAATTAAGTCGAGCTCGAGCTCAAAAACATTAAGGCTCGCAAGCTCGATTATATATATTTTTTTATATTTATATTTTTTATTTTAATAGTAAAAATACATATATATCCCTAATATTTTATTAATTGTTAAAAAATTATTATTTTATACATTTTTAAAAATAAAATAATTATTTTTATTTTTTTAAAATAAATTATTATTTTTTTATTTTTTAAACTCAAGCTCGAGCTTAACATTTTGAGTTCGTCGAGCTCGAACTTCATAAAATTAACTGAAAGCTCGGCTCGATTAAGCCAAAACTCGACTCGATTCGACACGTTTGCACCCTTACTTTGGTGCTTCTAACACAGGCTACGCTACTATTAGCACTTCAAATTTCAAAATCCGAAACTCCCTCTATTATTGTAAAAAAATCAACATTCCCGAAAGGAAATTACTACACCAGAATACATATATTAATCCAGAGCGACCAACTTTTATTTTAAAATAGAAATCTCATCCAAGTTAGGTGAGGGACATAATACAATTTGAACTGGCATCTAACGCCCAATTACCAATTACTACTATTAGTACGGAGACTTAAAAACAGGAGCAATGAATTTGCAATTAACGGACAGTTACAAGTTTTGGGAGCGGAAACAGTCCCCACAGTAACAAGGTAAAAGTATAGCAAGAGACCGTATGCATTATCTTATCCCTCCCGAGTCTCTAGCCCCTGTACTTAAAAGTGAAGGGATAGCCATTTACAGTGGGGCAGCATACTCCAGGCACTGTCGGTCTCCTGACATTAATCTTTCGTCTTTAACAATAATACCTCAATTTTTACAATAGAAAAGGATCACATTTCTATGGTCTGTAAAATCCCTTTTCACTGTGTTGTGGCTTTTGGAACAATTTAACTGATTTTGACTACTTTTGATTTTGAGCAAAAGTTTATCACCTATCATACAGTTCCAGATTATGTGGTACTTCCTCAGCTGTTCTAAGTGAAAAAAGGACGAGGTATGACGACAGCTGGAGGCAATGCAGACGGAAAGTTGAGGTGGCGCCTCCCTCTCACTTTCTGTTCCTTGTGTGTGTGTGTGTTTCTTGTTGTTGTTTGGATTCTTTGTATCTGAATCGTTTGTAACTTCTTCAGCTAGATATAATTTCTGATGTGTGGGTGCTTATTACAGTGAACAGATGGAAGGAGAAGAGGTTTTGAGGACGGTAGAATGTCTGAGAGGGAGATTGCTGGCAGAAAGGGCAGCTTCAAGAAATGCTAAACAAGAAGCTGACCTAATGGCAACCAAGGTTCGTTCTCTCTATTTTCGAATATTTATGCATTCCCTTGTTTTTTTGTTTCCCCCCTCTCACTTTTCTTTTCCTTTTCCCTTTTTTTTTTGTTGCATACAAGCTGTAAATCTATTTTCGTTAATATTCTGGTCGAAATGACTACTCGTTAATCTACCGTGTTTTCTTTACCTATTTGCAACGAGGTAGCGAACTTTCCACTTTCTGACTAGTTTTATCTGCCAAATTTCTGAAACAAATTAGTTGATTGAATTGGAGACTCGGCTGCAAGAGGAGACTAAATCAAGAAATAGAGCTGAAAAGAGGCTCAAATTCCTGGTGAAGAAGCTCGAGTCTTTGGAGATTTTCTATGTTTCAGATGAATCAGAACAGTCCAGCTTCGTGGACAAATGTGAAATATCATCCGCATCTTCTGCAGCTTCCACAAGCACCAAAACAGAAGACAAAGAAGCCTATGCCAACCCAAATTATAAGATTCAGAATATTCAAGAATCGACAGAGAATTCTTCAAAGTCCTGGTCCACTGTCGCATCTCAAGATTTGGATCAAAATGTTCCAAAAGTTAGTTCATCCGCCTCTGAGAGTCGGCAAACTCCTGTTGCAGATGAAGAAGAGATTCATAGCCACCCGGAACCCACATCCAGGAAATTTGAGACTGGAGAATTAAGGGAAAAAGAACTATCTCCAACAAAAATATGTCAGAATTCTTCAGTTGAAGAACCCCATTCAGCAAAATCCCGTGATTGTGTATCCAGCCAAAATGACAACAAAATGAACATGGAAAACGATAGGTATGTTGATTGCCCTGCATTCTGCTGCAAATTCTGATATATTCTTTAACTTTGCTTTTGTTAATTAATTCGTAATTTTAACTTCTTAGCTTGAAACTTTCAAACAAAGAGGAGGAGTTGTTCTTAAATGGAGAGGTTGATGAAGAGCAAGATCATTTCGTGGACGACTCAATGGCATTAGTTCCTGTGGATTTGCCAAATAAGCCAAGTCAGAAAATTGATCCGGCTGTCCTTGATTCTACTGTAAAAGAAGTACTGAATGCTCTAAGGCATGCTAAGGAAAAGCTTCAGACTTCAATGGAGAGAAGACGCATGATTAAAGTTGGCTAGACAAGTTCTTCTGTATGTAACATCGGTATCATCATTAATTTCCTTATAGCCTTGAAAAAAATTACCGTATATTCCATATATATTGCCTTCATGGATTTCGCATTATTCTGTGCGTGCAAAGGAATAGTGTCTAAAGGAGAATGCTGCTTGTGCTTTCCTACCATCTAATAAAACTGGCTCAAGGGTCCAATTTGGATTGGTGGATTTATTCACTCTCAGAACTTGGTTTTTTTTTTTTTTGTCTGATATGATAGATTCTAATCTATACCTAATCCTACTCTATATTAGGAGGAGGGGGTGATCCAAAGAGGCCAAGTGAAAAATCTGAGGAACTGAACTATTACCGGTTCAGATGGATGCGTGGCGAAACTTTTCAGGAACTCTAGATTTTTAGAATGCAAGCCAAGGGATTCGATCATTTGACTTACATTCAAGTAGAGCCTTAAAAGTCTCTTGATGACCAACTATTCTAGGAATAGTTAGTTTACAACTTGGTATCCTCGAATTATGATTTATTGTTTTTGGGAGGGGGGAGGGGGTGGTGGTCTTAACTTTTTTCTTTTTTGGTCGAATATGTCAACAATTTCATTTCTCTAATCAAACTTTACAAGAGCCTCAGGCTTAACTAGGGCTGCAAACGAGCCGAGTCGAGTCGAGCTTTGAGCTAATCGAGCCGAGCTTCGACTAAATTTTACCGAGCTCGACGAGCCGGCAAATTTCGAGCTCGAGTTCGAAAAAAAATAAAAAATAATTATTTTATTTTTAAAAAAATAAATAAAATAATACTTTTTTCTTAATAAATAATAAAATATTAAGGATATATACGTAATTTTACTATGAAAATAAAAAATAAAATATATATATATATAATATACGTAATTTTATTATTAAATAAAAATAAAAAAAAAAATATATATATATATATACCCAAGCTCGCGAGCCGGCTCGCGAGCTAACGAGCTTAATATTCTGAGCTCGAGTTTGACTCGAGCCGGCTCGAGCTCGACTCGAGCTCGACTCGAGCTCGACTCGAGCTCGACTCGAGCCGCTCGCGAGCGGCTCGATTCGTTTGCAGCCCTAGGCTTAACCATATTTTAAATTCTTGTTTATAATCATCCTTTAATTTGCTTCCTCGGAAGACTGCCCGAACCCTGAAGTATGTACATCTGGGAGACAAAGAGCTTGATATGCCTGAAACTCCGGTTCATCCACGTTTGTACCCTGTCTATACTGTTTTGTTGAACCCTAATGTTAACACATGCGTAAATAACCATAAACCATTTTTCTTTCTTTTGTTTAATAGCAGTTCAATAAGAGTCAATTCATTCGATGAGCTATAAATGCAACGCCTCCAAATAATTCGTAATTACTTGTGAAGATAGATAATTTTCAAGTTTATTGTTTCTGATTTTTACCTCGTTACTCAATGATAATCGACAGCTTCAAAGGAGGGAAAATTAATCGGTTGGCCCGCCAGGGAGGTACCAAAGTGTAGGCAAGGGTAGAGCTATTAATCGAGCCGAGTCGAGCCGAGTATTTGGCTGCCGAGCTCGACTCGAGTTTAATTCGAGCCGAGCTCTACTCGAGCTCGTTAGGAAAACGAGCTTTAAAATGTGTTCGAACTCAGCTCGTTAAATGTACATGTGGCTCGAGCTCGAGCTCGAGCTTGACTCGTTTATCACAAACGAGTCGAGCTTCACGAGCTCGAGCTCGAGCTCGTGCAAATTAACCTTAATAAAAACCTATAATTTTTAATTTTTATAATTTTGATTTCTAAAATGACAAATATGCCCTTCATTAACGAGTTCTAACGAGCTACTCGAGTATCAAACGAGCCGAGCTTACTCAGCTCGTTAACTAAACGAGCATGTTTCGAGCTCGAGCTCGACTCGTTAACCAAAATTAACGAGCCGAACTAGAGCCTTAACGAGTCGAGCTCTAACGAGCTTTCGATCTACTCGATTGACTTAACAGCTCTAAGCAAGGGGTTCGAAACCCCTTGCTTACATTTCTCATCCCTATCTCCCTAGCATTGAGTGTATGATTTCCTGAAATATCTTCGAAGGTAGTCTAGGCTCCTCTGAATTTTCAATAGTTTATTTAGGTCCATCCTTGTCTCGCTGCCTGCCTCCCCTGATACAGAACTAATTGTAAAAATACTAAAGAAGAAAAAGAAGGTTTTTTTGGGAGGGGGGGGGGTTGGGGGGTTAACACCATTTCCGTTTATTGCCATGTCAAAGAACTTCCTCTTTTGGTTTGAAGTTGGGAATTGCACCATTCTCTCTGATGCTAAAGGTAAACGAGGCAAATATAATACTTGCTTTTTTTAGTATTCCCATGTTTTCTGCCATCCAATAATGATTATGGAAAAAAAGAAGGGAAAATCGTTCAAAACGTCCCTCACATTTTGCAAAATAACTTTTTTCATCCTTTACTTTTAAAAGTGTACTTTTACGTCCCTTACAAATTCATATTGATTAAATTTAATCTCTATCTAGGTTTCTGATTAGTTTTTTGTCGGAATCCACCACGTGCCTTGCATGTGATCACTTTTTAAGGGCAAAATTGTCAAATCAAAATTTACATAATTCAATCCATAGTCTCTCACATTTCACAAAATGAATTTTTTTGTCCCTCACATTTCACAAAATGAATTGTTTCGTCCCTCATATTTCACAAAATGAATTTTTTCATCCCTCATATTTTACAAAATAAATTTTTTCATTTTTCATTGTTCATGTGTATGAATAACTTTTTTTAAAACTAATTTATATATCTATTTGATCTCACCTGGACAATACGAATAGCATATAATATATCTCTATTTAATTTTCGCCTAAACATACTGTTTATGTGAAATTAAAATAGATATATACAGGGGTTTAAAAAAATTGTTAGTTTTTCAGTCATTTCGTTCCTTTTACTCGAAAATTGACAACAAAGAAAATATTTAATTCTAAACATTATCAAGTGTTTATATCGAATTAAATTTAGACAGAAAAAATAAACAAAGGAAAAATATGACAAAAAGAAGTAAGTAATTGATACTTTCAAATTTTAAAATAATCATAAGGTAAGAAATTCAACTATTGGTCTTAAAGATAGCAAGTAAAAATTTCAAAGTTAAACTGCAATTTGTTAGCATGACTATAGAATTCGAATTAACACCGATTAATTAGATACTCTTATTAAACAACTCAATAAATGAATTATTACTAAAATAGAAAAGACTACAAATATTGAATAGATTCACATGGTGAAATCACACACATATATATAGGTTTAAAACAAAATAATTAGATTTAAACCCATGTATATATCGATTTGTTTAGGTGAAATCAAATAGAGATATATTACATATTATTTGTGCTGTTTATATGAAATCAAATAGATATATTCATGAATTAAAAAAAATAAAAACTATTTGTACACGTGGTCAATGAGAGATAAAAAAATTCATTTTGAGAAATCTGAGGGATGAAAAAATTTAATTTGTGAAATGTAAGGGACGAAACGATTCATTTTGTGAAATGTAAGGGACTATAGATGGATTATGTAAATTTTGATTTGATAATTTTACCCCTAAAAAATGATTACATGCCTTGCATGTGATGAATTCTAGTCAAAATCTAGTCGGAAACCTAGATAGGGACCAAATTTGATCAATGTGAATTTGTAAGGGACGTACAAATATACTTTTAAAAGTAAGGGACGAAAAAAGTCATTTTGAACGATTTTCCCAAAAAAGGACAAATTACATGGTCTTAAGATTTCACCTCTGAAAAGGTCAACAAACTCATAAAGCCTTTTAAAAGGATTTTCTGCTTCTCGGTACTCATAGTCGGGCATAACCAGTACTGCGAAGTGCCCACTTATCGTCCGCTCAAATGAAGCCCGATGTGATGGCCCGATTTGTCACCCATATCATATGAAGAGAAGCATGGCGAATATTCTGCCACAAATCGACCCGACAAACTTCAGGACGTGTAGCTTATCAGGACAATTCGTTTTCAATGTCTAATTCAGTTAACATGGACATGAATTAGTTATTGATGACACTCTCTTTTTTCCCCCCTTTCCTTTGAAGGTTTAGACGTTTCTTTGAACCTAAATAAGAAAAAAAAAAAAACTGTATGGTATTTGCATTATATTATACACACTGGATCGTGATATTCCACCAGTGATTGCAAAATGGGCAGTCAAATCACTACTGAATTTCAGCGATTGCCGATTGGGAACTTTGAAGTTGAAAGGGAGAAGAAGGGAGCATAAAAAGAAAAAATAGTGAAAAAATATGATAAATTAATGAAATACCCATTCCTTACAAATGTTTACCAATCAACTGTTATTGTAACTAGTGCTCTATCTTGTGTGGAGGTGACAAAATATATTTATCAAAATTATCTCTTTAAAAAAAGTTATTTTATGGGTTTTAAATATCTTCTTATATTGAAAGACGATTTAATTATTAACCACAAAAAAAAGATGATTTAACATATATTTTAGACTATAGCCCAGCAAAATGATTTTTTGGAACTAGAGTAGGAAGTGTCACAATATTCTTTTCTTTTTGCCTTATAATCAACTAGAAGAGAGTAATTTTGTGCTAAAAAAAAACATAAAAATGGTAATAATGGCTATGGTATAAAAACTTGAGATGAGCAAAAGTTGCCTAAAATGATGGTTTACTGTTCATAAACGTCAAAAGAAACCAGAAAGTAAAATTTCAGCCATGTAACAAAAAGCACAGAATTTACTCGGCCTCAAGAACGAGGCCAAGAAGAGAACGACGATAAAATAAACAGCAATATATACATTTAGCTGCAAGAGGAGAGAAGTGGTAGTTTATATTATTATTACTATAAAACATATAAATATTTATCAAAGATCATCTCTTGTAGTAGGAGTATTGTTTTATAATCCTTCAATTCTTGTCCAGTCTCATTAATCTATCTAAGATCTCATCTGACACCAATCCAGGAAAGATTTTCTGCCCAGAAATTCCAAAAAGTCCAGTGTTCTTTTCTTTCCTTATCCTCTACTCATCCCCTCTGATCCAGGAACAAAGTCTGTCATAATCGAATCTTAAATGGGTTTTACAGCTAAGATGTTGTTGAAAGGTGACACAACCATGGAAGGTCCACAGAAATTGAACCCAGGTTCAAGGTATGCACCAACAAAACCATCAGTACACCTCCATATTCTCTGAACT